TAAACTCAGCAGAAAGCTCTATATGCAGCAACAGGAGGCCATAGGCAATTAACTCTATAAATTGAAAGCTTTAAAATTTTTGCATGACCTTTAAAGGTCAACACAGTTGCCCATTCACATGCATAAAATTATAAGGGACTACTTCATAGCAAAAAAAAAAAAAAGAAGAAGAAGAAGAAAGAAAAAGAAACAAAAATATTTAGTGAAACTAACCTTGCATTCATTAAAAGCTACTGTGCACTCTCCAAGCTTTCTGTAAAGAGTTAAGTTATACGTAACACACGAAGATAAAAGAGCAAAGGAGACTTGTTGTCTGCTTGTCCCCATTTTGTCAACGTACTAAATTCAGCCCAGCGCTGTAATTGCTAAGAATGCAACATTATCACAATAACCAACCACTCTCAAGAATTTCAAAAATTTACTGTATAAAACAATATAAGTTGAATTAAATGAGTATGTTTGTGCTATGGCTAAAGGAAAGGGGGATGTACCTTTGCTAAACGCCATTCAGGGGAAATCATAAGACAATTACAGCTCCTGTGGAATAATTTGGGAAATTGAAGTGATTAAAAGGACTTCATCTAATAGAAACATAATTCTGATTCCTTAGTTATGTCTCATACCCCATATGGATCACTGTGAACAAAATGGAATATTCTCCTTGTAACTTATATATTGTTTTCACCTGAATCCAGAAGTTACCTGAAGGTCTTCTAGTTTCCAATGGCAATATCAATCAATCACCTAAATAGGTGAGAATTTCACTGATTCCAGTGACTTGCTTCCCTATCATCACAGCGCAGGATGAGCTCCAACATATACATGTGGTATACACCTTGGAAGTGGGTGGGTTTTGGAAATCTAACAAATTTCAAATATATCAAGATGTTTCTGGGAAATTTATAGATACCATTTGTAAACTGGAGTAGTATGCTCTAATGTAGTGCACGGTTTGTTTTAACTGGGGACGGCATATCTAATAAAGATGGCATACAAATATATTCAGAGTTTTAAATGTGTTGAAATTCCCAGTCATAGGGTCAATAAACACATCCCAAGCACCTCTACATGAAGGATAAAGTTGAATTTTTTTTTTTTTGCATTCGTCCCCTAACAAATAAAAGTATCTCCAGAAGAAAAACTAAAGAGAAAAATACACTATATGCAACAGTGGTTTAAACAGTAAAACTCAATCATAAACCATATGTTAAACCATAGGTACAGTTGCACTGTAAGTAAATCATGTAAAAAAGTGAAAAATGTAGACTGTTTTGAAAGTCATTCTTTCTTCTTTAACATAAAACCAATATTTTACATGGGTGCCATTAAAAGCATACATACTAATGCATATGGATATATATAGAGAGAGATAAAGATTAGGTAGATAACACAGAAATTTAGATTTAAATACTGCATTTCTTCACATTCCAACAGGTCCAACCATACCTGTTAAATTTCTGTTGAAAATAAGTAGAAAACAAGACTTGTTATAGTTCACTGGCAAGGACACCTGAATCACGTGCCAAATGAATAAATCAGACTTCTTAAAAAATGACTAAATAAAGCAGTGGTCAATGACAGCTAAAAAATAAAAATGAACTTCTTATTCTGTTTGCTGGGCCCACTGTTCCATCTCCCTTGTTTCAGACTATGCTCCAAATCTAAAGTAAAACTTCTCTCTAAAAAGACTTACGGTAACTTCCTTATAAAATTATTCCTGTTCTTCCAGTGCTCTAATTCAATATGCTTCAAGTAGTTCAAAATAAAGTTAACCAAAGAATTTTGAACAAAATGGCAAATACACCATATTATATAGCATTTAAAAAAAAAAGATCAATGGGTTGTAAGCAAGATAAATCACGTCAAATACTGTGGAAATATGGAGACCAGATATGAAGCTGATTTAGCTAGTTTGGCCTCCCTATCTAGCAGCAGCCTGTAGGAATGCATGTCTGCTCTTTGTTTTGATGGGGCATTACTAAGGACAGGTTGATAAATTGCATTTGTAGATGTCAGGTACAGATCAGAAGGGACGATGTTAGATGCTTATTTTACTTCAACTTAGGGTTTTTCACCAAGAAAACAAAACTGCATTGCACAGTCAAGTTCTTTATTTTTACTTGAATCTTCAATGAACAAAACAGCTGCAGAATAATACGACTTAATGAGGCATCCCTAATAAAATACTGGAGAAGTCAAAGCGGGGGTACTGAACTGTTTGCACTCTGTTGTTTCATCTTCTCAAACCTATTAGAAGTAGCTGATGACACTCTGGAACACTCCTAGTTTGGGACATACATCAGACAGGCAAATGGTCATCAGTTTGCAGTCGCAGCTGAACTTCGGCAGAATCTGACAATACCTTTTACTACAGCCCACAATAATGCCTGGAAAATGCTGCAAAGGCCCATCTTATCCTACACGTATAGGTTAATCCATACTGGCAATTATAGTAAATCAACCCTAAAATGCACTTTCAGCATTTCAATATTCAAAAACGTCTTGTCAAAGGATCATCATTAAAATGAGATATTGAAGAGATTAGATCCAGGACCACTAAAACTTTTTAATAATATACAAAATAATTTTTATAAAATCTTTTATTACCCCCTAAGTTTCATCCCTATAAATTTAAAAAAAAAAAAAATGTGGCCATGTCTAAAAACAGATCTTTTTACAGCTGTGTCATCACATTTTATAACTTGGTGGTTAGTAAATACTCTATTGTGTTCTCTAAGCAGTATGTACCTTTTTGGTCACAGATCCATGGGCATTTCCATAAATCTTCATTTTCCATGTATCATTGTTAAAATGGCCAACATTTTTCAGATTCAGAAATCACACATACTTAGAAACCTTAGATTCCCCTTTGGCACAACTTGTAGCATTATAGGTGTTGGCTTTAATATCAAGGTTTTTGGTTCCTCTTAAAGAGGCATCATCATAGCATTATGTATAAATATGTAAGTTCAAATATTCTCAACTACACAAGTTTCTTAAAGGGCAAGAAACAACTCAAGATTTTAGTCTCCAAAAATGCCTAACGTTAATAAAACAACTCACTAAAACTGTGTTCTTCCTCGTAAGAGTCACTGTGCCTAAGCATTCAGTTGGTAGTAGCTCTGCTCTCATTGCATTATACCTATAAATATTGTAATCCAGTTTTTTCACCAAAAATTAAGAAAATAAGAATAAAATCAGCTCTTCAATGGCTACTGGTGGCTTTAAAACTTAAGGCTCTAAAATGGTCAAAATGCAAACAATGGACTCAGGATGAGATCCAGAACAGATAAAGTAGGAAAAGAGAAAAACGCATCTGATTGTTTTTAAGGATGCTGGGCACCAAATTTGAAACTGTAAAAGATTCACCAGTCCAAGAATACATGTGCTAACATGGAAAGGCTGGAATAAATACAAATAATCTTCTTGCTGTTTTTTTAAGGGCTTTAGAGGTGTTTCCAATCTCCTTTGCTAGTTATTGCCATTTAGCACCTTTACACAGAAATCTTAAATTACTCATTTGTCTTAAGTTACATTGCCTAGTAGAGCAGTATTAAAGTGTTAATTGATAACAGTCTGATAACTGATGTCTCAAACAATCTAGTTGGGAAGACAGGAACCAGATAATTATCATCCAGTCAATAATCACTGGAATTCATCCTGTCCTGAGGGAAGGACCCTTCTGCACTAACTGCTATGGGGGTACTTTTCAAGCGAAGGCTGTATTGGGGGGGGGGGGTTGTTTTTTCAAAAATGATTTTTGCAAAATCCAAGATGGGATTTAACACTCACCAAACGGACAGTCTTGTTCTTTTCTGTCTTATTGCCACAAGCCAAAGTCAAGCCAACTCACGGGGAAGAGAGGCTCGCTAGCCACTATAGGAAGTACACATCTGATTCCAAACGCTGGAGGCGGTTAACACTCGGTCAGGAAGTGGAATACTGAATAGGAAAGCATCGCGTCTACCCGGGGGCTCAGCAAGCTCCCACAGCCCCTCCTTTTCAAGTAGAGACTAGATAGCTCAGTCTGCAGTTCTAGGAGAAATACGGCGACGGATATCAAACTTTCCTTTGCAAAGGCCGTTTCTGGAAATAACATGTTCCCCACTGGCAAGTGCAGATCAGTAGCCTAAAGAGAACAGCTCTTGGTAGGAACCTGGCCTTTTGGAATAGAAGGGGAGAAGGGACAGCAAAGCCGTGGGGCAGATAAGCCGTGTACCCTTAACAAGATTTGGGAGGAAAATATTAGGAAAGAAAGAAAGAAAAAAAAAAAAAAAAACCCCACCATTCGTTTCTCCAAGCTGTCCTTCTCCTGAACGTTGTTCGTAAAATGATCCTTTTCCTAAAGCTCTCCTGGAGAATCCCTCACTAAAGCTTTATTTCATTCCGTCATGAGGTGTCCGTTCCCAAATCGAAGTAAATCTTTAAATAAATGAGGCTCCGGAACTTACCGTGATGATTCTTCATGAACATAGTTAGAGGTGGGGAAATGAACAGCCTCTCTGAAACGCCCACCCTCTGCAGACAGGCCCAAGAATTAACTAATCAGAAGTGGACAGAAAGTGGGGATTCCAGAAAGGCGACCTGACACATCCCAGTGATCCTCTCTTGAACGCGACCCCCAACTCATCAGGAGTCCAAAATGGTTACCAAGCGGGATTGGGTCGGTTGGGGAACGGAATGAAAACCCACTGCAACCCTCGCCCGGGTCGCTCGCTGTGCTGGGAGAAATGGGGCAGGGAGGGAGGGCACCGCTCCCGGAGCCTCCTCGGCGTGCTTGATCCCCTCTCCGCGTCCCTCTACCCCCGCCCCTACCCCGACCGCCCGCGAGGGAGAAGCCGGGCGCCCAGCCAGCACCTGCTCTCACCTCGCGCCTTCCCGGGGCGGGCCCCCTACCGCCCCCGACCCCCGAGGAGGGGAGGGCTTCGGCGTCGCGGGTCCTCCAGCTGCCGCGGGGTCCCCAGCGCCCGCGCGGGGCGGGAGACGCGGCTCGCACCTACCTGCAGCCCGGCTTCCTGGTGGCGGCAACACCTAGCGATGGTCCTGCAGCTTCCGCGGGCCGGCGCCGACCTTATCGCGCTTGCATCGCTTCCGAGATGCCAATCCGCCGTCGCCGTTCTGGGGCATAGGGAACCCAAGTCTGGCGGTGTGTGCTCGTGGAGGGCGTGTGAGTGGGGCCCTGAGCGCGCGTGTGTGTGCGCGCGCGTGTTTCCTCCTCCGATCGCAAAGAGGGTTCAGGAATCTCTTGACATCCAAACTGGAGTCCCCTGAGAGCGGGTGCAAGGCGGAGCGCCCGAGCCTCGGCTCTCTTTCCCCACTCTCTATTCCACGGTGTCAAAGTAATCAAAAGATGTGTTCACCGAGGCAAAGCCGAAGTCCCGCAGCCCTGGCCTGCGCCCGCGGTCGCCCGCGGTCCTCGTCGGAGGCGCGGGGCGCGCTCGGCTCCCCCGACTGCGAGAATCGAGGCGGTCTTGCAGCAATTACCTGCCCTACTCCATATCTGATTTGTTTGCTTTGAACGCCGAGTCAAGACTTTTCCTCTCGCCTCACGTCGTCTCCCCCTCTCACGCACACACACACATCCTCCGGCCCCCTCTCCCGCCCTCCCTTTGGCTCTCTGGGGAAAGGCAATTGGACGGAACGATTCACCTTCAGGAAAGCAGTCTCTGCCCCGTACTTCTCGCGTTCCCCGGCTCTCCCAGGTCCCAGGTCTCCAAGGTGGAGGACTCGCAGGGGAGGTTCGGGGCAGCAAGGAGGGGAGGCTCTGCGCTCGGCGGTCCTCCGCCCTCAAGACGTCAGCTTCCTCGGATCAGGTGCCCCTTGTTCCCGCTTTTAGCACCTCGGTCCCAGCTGCTGCCCTTTCGGAGACTTGGCGCCCGGTCCACTTAGCAGCAACCCCTAGCCAGCTGCAGCCCCTCAATCCCGCCTCGAAGTGCTTTGGGCAGAGCCCCACGCAGCCCAGCCGCTGGCCCCCTAGGCATCGTGGGCTGGAAGAAAGGGAAATCCGCCGCTGTCCCCTGTCCCCAGACGCTGCCACCGTCACCACCGAGAAGGTGCGAGTTCCAAAATCAAACACAAGCGAGCAGGTGTTGCCTGTCTCACTTCGCTAAAGGCGGGAGGAAAAGAGAGAAGGGGCGGAGGAGGGGGCCCAGGAATGAAATCCGGATGACCAGAAGGAAAAAAAAAAAAAAAAAGAAAAAAAAAAGTAGTGGGTTTAGTAATCCAAACCTCCTCTCCGCCTCTCACCCCAGGCGCTGCACTAGCAAAAGACACCGGTGGTGTCTTTTAGAAAGTCACCGTAAAGGGCAGAACCCCCTGTTCCGCCCAGACCCTTTATTCCAACGAGCCGGGCTGTCCCGGGAGCACGGAGTGAGGGCCTCCTTGTATAATGCAAGGAGCACGCAGGGAGAAAATAGGTCCCGACACTCCAGGGTGAGTGAAGCAGTAAAATGGGATAGCAGAACCCGGTTACGTCGCCTCCCTCCGTCTCTCCCAACAGCCTGTTCTCGGATGCTGCTAAGAGCAAACTGCGGTCCTGCAGAAAAAGGAAGAGACAGTAAAAGATGAGAGGGCGGCAATCGGTGTAAAAGCTGGACTATGTCTCCCTCTAGAGGGAGAATCGTGTTAGAGAACTTCACTGGAGGTAAGTAGGACTCCAGTTTCTCCACAAAGAAAAAGAAACCGGTATCTGGTTTCGGAAGAATTTTGCATTTTTACAAATTCCAACCTCTAATGGATTTAGAGAGAGAATTTGCAGAGCCGCCCTATGCAAGCAGAGTCCTTACTAAAGGAACGTCCTGATATTTACAGAAATTTAACAGCGAAGACCCTGGAAGTTCATGTCCTTACAGGTTTGGTCAAATTGGGTGTTGGTTTAAGCTGTATGCATATGAACTCAAAGGAAGGGTCTTATTAGGCTCACTTTGATCAAGTTTGGTCATGAGCAGAACCTTAATCTAATGATTAGAACACTGTTTTTAAAAGCATAAGTAGTGATAACAGATTTAAGGGGAAAAAAATCTGAAGCGAAAAAATAGGATGCTAATCTGTGAAATCTTACAAGTCCCTTACAAACCAAGGATATCTCAAAGATTTTGTTTTGGAGCCAATAGGTATACCTCTTATTCAACGGACTGGTAATTTCCAAGGTGACTAAATTCCTTCCAGCTCTAAAGGTTTGTGCTTTTATAGCTCCAATTCACTGAAACCTTTGACAAACTAGGTATCACATGCTCCCTCCACCAGCTATAAAATCAAAGTAACAGTAGTCACCATATATACAAACAAATATGGAATATATGTTTTATATGTTATCTTAACATGCTTTGAAATGCCAACATATTTTATATCTAAAAGGCATCAAGTAATTTAGGTCAGCGTGTCCCAGATTTTATAATGTTTTGTTACTTTGCTGAAGTTCAAGAGAGGTCCCATTAGTAACTTTAATATTTAGATCTTGTGAACTTACCATTTGAAAGTTTGCTTTCAAGACGTTTCTGTATGTTTGAATTATAAAATATATACTAACATTATGATTAAATTCCTTCCCATTCACCATTCACTCTGAATTTTTGGAGTAATTCTATTTTAACTTGAAAAATCTAACTTAGTGTAAGCTTAAGAAAGAGAAGAGGGGCGCCTGGGTGGCTCAGTTGGTTAAGCGACTGCCTTCAGCTCAGGTCATGATCCTGGAGTCCCGGGATCGAGTCCCGCATCAGGCTCCCAGCTCCACGGGGAGTCTGCTTCTCCCTCTGACCTTCTCCTCGCTCATGCTCTCTCTCACAG